GTGTTTTGAATCCAAACTTGTTACTTGCATACATGCCTGCCTACAGCACTACATCGTGTGCTTCCAGCTCTGCAAGCTATAGTGTACACTCGGAAAACTATAAGCCGCTTCCTGTGCCAATTATAACCTGTTTAAAAATACCTTTTTGCATCTTCCCTTCCAAAAACAAAACACTATTTAGATGACCTGCGCTATCCAAAAGGTGAAGGCAGGAAAAAAAACTAGCAAAAGTATTCCTGTAGCCACAGTGAACAGTGCGATGGGCTCCCTTTAGTTCCATGTGAGACAGACCGGAGCAATCTCAAGCTTCCCTCACAAACCTACTGTCAACAGGAAGGAGGAAGAGGAACATTATAATCACAGTCACCATCAAGCCCTCTGACAGCTTCTCCATGCTGACGCTCACCGCAACACTACAACACAGGAAAACTAGCACCTGTGTGTGGTACAGACATTTACTATAAACTATATATTGTCTTTTCCCACATAACTTGGATGGATGACATAAAAACACATTCTACATAAACACTCAATTTTTTACTTCAAAATTCTTTCTTCCCTGCCTGCCTGCTTTGCAGGCAATTCATCCCGCTTTCACAGCTGCTGGGACATTTTCTTCACCAGGTGATACACTTACGTCGAGTCTAGCAATGTACCATCCAGGAGCGAAGCGTTGTAGTGGTACTTCAAGTAATCTCCCTTCTTACTCAGTACAGTGCAGTTGGAAGGTTTGTAGTTAACAGTAATGCTGACCGAATCTGCGGGGTTGTGGAAGTCAACCACGTGGATGTCAAAGACCAGCACTGCAGATCCTGGAATCTTTCCTAAATAGAAAGCAAATTAGGCAAGTAGAGAAAGAAATGGCGCCCAAACAGGCTTATGATGACCAGGAATTGCATAAATTCCCACTGGGTCTGCTACTGAGTCATTTTGTTCTTCTCATTCAGAATTAAAGGATTTTATCTCCTCTGTATGCAACAGATGCAAGCTGCAACCAATGTAGGCAAGAGAACCAGTGGAAATGCACTAAACAGGCACTCAGTTCAAGAGTGAAAGAAAACATTTCCATAATTCCAAGTTTGAAAATGATGCAGAAATGAAGCAACAACCATGTATTTCCTGTGACCAAACTAAGTAACTGATTTGTGTTTCATGTACTGATACGTTATTGGTCAAGAAAATTCTCGCAGAACTTCTCATGCTTCAAGGAATGCCATTATGTCTAAAAGGTTACACTTCCTTAACATGTCCTGAGAGCAAACAACTTCCTCCCCCCTGGCCCAAGATAATGTGTAATTGCATTACCAGGACTGACAGACACATCCAGATCCAGGAATGGGTTTTGTTGGCAGGGGAATCTAATTTCCAAATCAACAACATAGAATTTTCATTCCCAAGAAGAGAGGCTTTTCTTCCAACTCAGTTTTTCCAAAAGAGGTACCTTTTGAAACACCAGCCATAAACCTGATCTCCTAGAAGGGTTATCATATGCAACCTCTCACAACCATCTTTTTCGGTAGTAATGGGTTTCCCCAAAGGAATCTTAACTGTACGTTTTACATACACAGATACTATGCTGTTACATGCATCCACTGTTTACAGAGGCAGCTTAGGAGTCCACAAAACCTGTGGCCATGAAGGGAATGGGAAAGAAAACTTAACAGGATTAGTTCCTTTAACATACAGAGCTTGTTAGGAAACACAGAGAGGAAGCTCTCACACTGCAGAGCTCCTGGCATCCAAGTACCAGTCTGTCTGGAACACTGATTATCCAAATGAGTTCAGGTCACCAAGTGCCAGTCTGCCTGAAACACCAATTATCCAAATTATTTCAGGTCACTCATTACATGTGGGATTGTTCTGCATTCTTATTGTCCTGCCTATTTAGCTAATTAAAATAATTTTGCAAATTCTGGGTGTAATCCTGTCAGTTGCATGCCCACAAAATAATGAATTAATTCACAAGCCTTTCAAATGCTAAAAAATGGAATACACAGTTTAACCACACACAGATGCACTAAGCAGTAAAGCAAACATCATTAATTATAGAAGACTTGAATGAAAAGTCAAGCTCACCCCTTCCTTCTTCACCATATCCAAGATGAGGAGGGATGATTATTCTTCTCTTTTCCCCAGTGCATACACCTAGCAGACCTTCATCCATCCCAGCAATCACATAACCTTTCCCAACATAGGTGTCATACGTACGGTTTCGTGAATAGCTATGGAAAATATTTGCATTTTAGCACTTTCAGGTGTACCCCAAAAAACACAGAACCTTGCAATAGGTCTGCAACACAATTCTTAAACTAGTTAAGGTCGAACACATGGCCATTAACTGGCACTGGAGAGGCACAATGAAGTCACCATTTTCAATAAATCTAGGCCACCAAATTTCATCAGTCTGTGATGCACACACCATTTATTAACCAGTACTGAGTCCCTGGCTAGGAAACAGCTTATTTGCAAACGTATTTCCACCGCATCTTAAAAGAAAACTTCAATTATTTATGTACTTTAAACTAAACAAAAATCCTGTTTTTAATAAGTAACTGAAAAATTGCTTTTTGCCTTTAAATTTTCCTGTCCCATTTCAACTCTAGTAAGTGCTTATCAACTAGATAAAGTTTAGGTTCATTTTCATGAGACACCTTCCAGACTACTCACAGACTATCTCATTTTGCAACCACCAACAAATAGTTCAACTACTCCAAGCAGGAGGTCGGATAAATAGCTACTCCTGGGCTGCACACCATTAAAATGAGTCACGACAACAAAACAGTATCAATACTATCCCTCCTCTCCAACCTATGCCAATCACTTACAGGTAGGTTGAAGGATCTGCTTCAATAACTAGTAACAGAATAAAACAATCCTACAACAATAAATGATGTTAATTACAAGGATACGTGTGTCTTTCTTCACAGCATGCTACATGAAGGCACAACTCAAGGAAGGCAGGCAGAAAGATTTTAATTTATCTTTATGAGGCAACTCTGGGAAAGAGCAAGACCAGCACAGACCCTGATGTAATTCAGAGGTTTATTCAACTGCTCTGTGCTCAGACAGGCCTGACTGAGCTGCCCAGGGACAGTTCTGCAGCTGAATATTGCAAAGAAAAAAAAAAAAGAAGGAAAAGATTATTAGAGCTCTTGACCCCAGCCATTCAGTGCTTTTGGTGTGCTCTCTGCACTAGTGAGATCTTTTCCTGGTCACCTACAAGGCTTTCAGTAACTGTTGTTGGCTGCTCCACTTCTTCACAGATACTTGTTAGATATTGGCCTTTCTGGCAAATTCCGCAGGAAGCCAGGATACAACACTAATGAATTAGCCCTCTAACAACTGTCAGCACCGCAGAATGATGTAGAGGCTGCTGTCTACAAAGCATTTATTACTGTTTATTGACAACAACCCTGACATAAATATACCGCCATTTTAAAGAACTGTTTAATTACTACAGACAATACTCATTTCCATCTCAAGAAAGAGAGACTCGGGGCAGATGCACCATGGATAAGCTTTAACTTCTTAACTTACAAGTTTTCATAAGCTGTAAATTAAGGTCTACAGTGATAGGTGTTGATGCAGATCTCTTGCTCTCTATCCTTCCACAAAGCTGGGCAGGTGAAAGGGGTGGTCAAGGTTGATTCCAAACTGTACTGCACCTCAGTTCAATTACACGAGGTAAAATTCAGTGACTCCTCCTCACGGGAAGTAGCACACATGGCATATAACTCAGCTAACGTTTGCAAACTGATCCTGATGTTCAGCTTGTAGCAGTTGTAGGAGTATGAAAAAAAAAAGCATTAGTTTATTTTGTAAAACATTTCACAGCTTTTCAACTCTTTTTAGCTAATGCTGTCAGCTGTTCTGAAAGCTGGAGTGGGGAAGTAAAGTACTGCTCATTAAAGAGCAAACAAAAGTGACAGGAAGATGCAAGGGTATTATCCATCATGTAATTCTGTACACGACGTTCATGTGCCCAGATGGCTTTGAATCTGAAGTGAGAGCAATCTCTCTTCCCTTATAAAAGACTCAGAGTTCAGTCTTGAAAGACATCAGCCTTCAAAAGCCAAACAGCTTTTAAGTACCTTTGTACAGGAAGGCTGTCCTGAGATTAACCTCAAACCAGTCACGAGCTCACCAACTGACGACATAAAATGAGAATCATATTTTTCCCTTCGCTCTTCAGTAGTATTACCTATTTGGCAGATCAGCTCTATAGTGAAAAGAGTCTTCAGGCATGCATGTCTCAAGCACACCTAGCTTCACCAGGTAGGCCACCACCCCTAGATGGCATCTGTGACACTGTCATCATACAAAATAGGTGTTTGTCTTTCTTCCCATGCTGAAAAGGTTTCTGTGAGTTCTTTTAAAGAAGAAAAAACTTTAACTCCACTCACAAATTTCAAAAACTAAGACAAAGCAAATAACTGTATTTAGATATATTATGGACAAGACAGACAAGACAAACTGGAATTGGGATCCGTAGGCTTGAACGTTTTGGTTACCTGGAATCAAACATTGTGCCATCCAAAAGTGTGCCGTTGTAATGGTATCGGAGAAAGTCTCCTGTCTGGCTTCTCCGCTCGCAAGATTCAGGCACATGCTGGTTCTCAATAGTAATACCATCTTTGGGGTTATGGAGATCTAGCAAAACCACGTCAAAGACAAGAGAAGCCTGGCCAGGAATGTCCTTACCTACAAACATGTTAGAGCAGAAAATTGGTAAGAAAGAGCAGGTGTTCTAAAAGGAACTTAAACATGTTTATCAAAGAAAAGGAACCTACTGCCAAATATCAGACACCTTCTGTCCCAAAATAAATTAGCATAATCTGCTTCTAGTCAGTCATTTTTTATTTCATGTGTGGGTTTGTCACTTAATTCTTCAACTCAGTTATTTAATTCTGTTCCTATTGTGGTGGCATTGCCCCACTGAAAAGAACAGGCTCTTCAGCAACACCCATCTTAGTCAATATACACCAGCTTCACCTGAGCTGTGTGGTTTATACTACCAGTATTTGCAACATCCTTCATGGAAATGCATAGAATAACAGGAGACCACATGATGGAAGCTGAAAAAGGGTAAATCGAGTATCTCAGTGAAGAAGTACCTTCCCACCAATACACAAATTACAGTGTGAGTTGCTTTGACCGAAAACCATTGAGCTCAAGATCTTGGCAATATTTTAAAATGTAAGTCCACAAAGTTTTGTTGTCCATGGAGATGGCTATTGCAGTTAGTGCTAATGAAGTCATGGAAGGGATACAAAACCCTGTACACCACAGACACATCCTTTAACATCAGAGCGGAGAAATAATTTAAGGAAGCGTCCTGAAATATACCTAACTGGCCCCTCATTTAACAAGGAGACCTCTGTGTATGACCTGCAAGGCTGCATACATTCTCATAGGACAATTAATCCATCCTGTAGTTATTACTAGGGCACTGGTTGCAAAAAAACCCAAACCAAAACAAAAAAACAACAAAGAAACCCTGTAACTAAAAATACATTTTTCTTTTTTCAAAAGGTTTCTGCTCTCTGTAGCAGTCATTGAAAGAATTCTGCAGTCACCTGACTTCCAGTTCTTTTGGAGCCACTAGATATTAATCTCAGATTATACTATCTGAATGAAATAAACTTCCAGTATATAAAGATTACAATTGTATCAACACTATGTCTGTTAAACAATTTACCATTTAATTTAAAAAAAAATCTTGTACTTGCTAATCAGTCCAATCCTATATGTAATATACTTTAACCTCTTTCCATCACTTTGTTCCATCTGTCTGAAATGGGTAATAATGCTGCCCATAAATGTAAAATACAGAGTTTGTTTTAAAATACAGATAGATGACTTAGGGGTGGGGGGGGAGAATAACTTTTACCATCTCCTTCTTCTCCATATGCCAGGAAAGGTGGTATTGTGATAATGCGCTTCTCTCCTACGCACATTCCCAAGAGACCCTGGTCCATACCAGGAATCAGCCATCCAATTCCCACATAGGTATCGTAAGTTCGCATCCGATTATGGCTAAAAATGAAAACAAACAAACAAATCCACAAACAAATGTCAGACACGGGAAAGAACAATATTAAACCTCAAAAGCCACGTGCTATGCATAATATAACTCACAACCTGCTGGTTCAAAAGTGTTGCTCCTTGATTTACCAAGAGCTGGCTGAGCAGTGTTTTCCAGAGTGCTCAGCTATTTCACAAACCTAACAGAGGTCTTGAAAACTGGCTCACAAATGTAATGGCAGCTGTCACTAAAGCATCATTTCCACCAAACTTTAATGAAGTACACATGCTATTAACTTAAAATCTCAGTATGAAAATGTTAGTAGCTCAATGTCATTATGAACTCTACTTACTGTATAAAGCTTGCCTCTAACTTGAATAGCTATGCTGCCAGAGTTACAGAAATTTTTAGCTGACTGCAATAAATAGTAATACAGATACAGGGAATGGAATTTTAAAAAAAAGGAGGGGGATCTAGTCTGCAGAAATAATATACTGTTTTATTGGTTTGAGTCAGTGCTGCCGCCCCACAATGCCTGAATAAATTATTGACACTTATATGATGTTAGCTTTCACTTCTTCTATCTCTGGGCAAGTAACATTAATTGTTATACCAGTGAAGGGGGAGTAAATGATGGTTTTAAGGGACATCAGATACCTACTAAAATACACAGACACAAAACGCAGCTGCCTACCTTGAATCAAACAGGGTCCCATCTAGGAATGTCCCATTGTAATGGTACCGTATGAAGTCAGACACCTGGACTGTCCGAAGACACTTCTCAGGCTTGAAGTAAGTCTGAACCTGCACTTGGTCCTCTGAGTTCCAAATGTCTATCAGGAGCACATCGAAATGAAGCACAGAGTCAGGGGGTATCACACCAGCTGCAAAAGCAAAACAATGCAACCAGCTTTATTTCCCTTTTTTATACAAGGCATCAGCAAAAAGGGAACCAATCCATGCATATCCTAAAGAAACCACACAATGCACACCTTACCTTTTGTAATGCTTACATCCCCCTGGCCCCTTGTCACTCTTGCAGCTACTTAAGAGGGGGAATCTAGCAGTACATCCATTGGGCAAACTGATCTTTATTTAGCATTTGTTGCCTCTATGAGTGTGGAAAGCAAAGCTGCTTCTGGCACTGACAAGACCTTGTGCAGCACTGCAATGCCAAAACACAGAAACTATTTACCAGCAAGGTAAGGATAAATTAAACAGTTAACTTCAGTAGCAAGGTTCATCCGCTGAAGGTCCTCTACAGTCAACAGCTCTTCCTTCAGCATGTAGAGGGAGTCTGGAGCGATTAGCTAGGCTGGAGGCTTAACAAATACCCCTGAGCAGGGAAGAAACTCTGTGAAATGCACCTCGTACAATTTCTACCCTTTTCTTCCGTGACTCCATTTCCTATCTGAATCACTTGCACAACCAGATATTCACCATCCCTCTGTGGTACTTACGGACGCCTTCACTTCCATAGGCGAGTTTGGGGGGAATCTTCACGAACCGCCGCTCGTTCACACACATGCCCACCAGAGCTTTGTCCATCCCAGCAATGAGTTGACCTTTTCCCACAAACACGTTGAATGTGGAACCCCTGTCATAGCTAAAAGGAAAAGGCAGGCAAAAACATTAGCAGTTCATTTACCCACCGTTCCACTTTTTGGTTTTTTTGAGAGTTTAACCATACCCTGTCTCCCCCTTGCCCTGTAAGCACAGCTTTGTCACGAGACAGCTGCTAAGAAAAGGGGCAAATCCAAATGTTTCTGAGACTTCAACCCAGCTCTCCTTCTGTTTGCTGCTCACCACCTATGTGAAACACATTCTAGCAGCATCCAATGTATACTGCAGGCACCTGAAGCCTGTAACTACACACGGCTAATTTACACTCTATTGCTATAAGCAAGCACTAGAAAATTATGGACAAGAAAGAAAAATTAAACACCATTATGAGATATGAAAGGATGACTGCTTCTACAGCAGGATCTCAGCATATTGATTTTGGTGAGTAACACCACAAAAATATTATGCAACATCGATAAGCTTCATGATGCAAGTCATCATGGTTGGGGATTCTCCATGGGAGAAGACAAAAGGAAAAAAGATGCCTTTTCAAGTAACAGCTGTGAGATTTACCAATTGGTCCTTTATTTTCTCCAGTTGGTTACTTACTTTCTTCTCCACATTCCCAGATTTCATGTCATTAAGATTTAAATAGCAAAAAAAGAGAGAAGTACTTTAAACAGCCAGATCAAGACTCAAGATAGCTTGCTAAATGATCTTCCACTGTGATCATACATGAACATTTGAAAGGAAAATAAATTATTCTGAAATGAAGTTTTCCACAGAGAGCAGCAACGTTACGACAGCAGAACACTAACATGAGCTTACGTGGTTAGTTTTACCACCTTAAATCCACACAATGACCCCACTTTGCTGTGCTTGAATTACTGCTGTTATTTAACTTTTTAAAGCGGTGTATGAACATAAATCAGGAAGCATTTCAGAAGCTTCATGCTTATTTTTAAGCTTTTACTGCTTCCATTTTCTCAAATAACTTTTCTTATTTACTTTTCTTTTTTTTTCCACCCCAGATAAAAGGTAGCACTGGAAAAAATAACTACAAAAAGGCTTGTGCTTCTTTGTCTGCTAAAATATTCTGGAAAGCAGCCAGTAGCTCGATATCGCTAGGGAAATGATGTCAAACTTTCCTTCGACGGGTGTACACATCACTTCCACAACACACTGAGCCTCCCAACAGTCCCAGAGCCTCAAATCCCTCCAATATCTTACTGAGGGATTTCTCTGTTTGCTCCATCATTTTTTTTTTCTGGCAAACATTTCCCTTAAAATAGACAACTCTCTATACAGAGAATCCACTTCCAGTTGCACAAATACTCCTACACCTGGCAACGATGGAAAATATTTAAATTAGTTCCTGACAAATTCTATTATACATACAGAACTATAATTAAGATAAACAACATAATAAGTTCTAAGAAGCCCCCAAAAGTGGTATTTTGTAGCTTTGTAGCTTTTGCTATTGTGTATCTGACAAAGCTTGGCAATACAAATGGGATGCACTCAAAACAGAAAAGGGTTGGCTTTTTTTTGCCAAAAATCAACCTACAATTACAAAAACACTGATGCTAAGCAGAGAACTGAACAAAGCAGAGGACAGATCATGCAGCTTCGCAGGACTGACTTTGCAGATTCCTTAACCCTAAACAAAATTAGTTTCTATCGGTGGAATTCACCAAATTAACAGGAGATGACCAGGCAATTAAATTCATACTTAAAAATGCAAATCACTTTATGGCCATGGAAATAAAAACGGAAATACTGCTGTGAAAAACAAAACCAAAACAAAAAAAATAGCTAATTTATGTGACAGAGTCATGATTACTAAGACTTTGTCAACTGCCTCTTAACAAAAAGAGCAGCATTACTGCATTCTACTTGGACATCCACAGAAGTAACTTTAAACCCCAAGAACATTCTCAGCAGCCGAAGAAGAAACAAAGTAAAACTGCTTTAGTTCAACACACAGTGTATTTTCTACACCAATTTCATAACAGTGTTTTATTAAATTGATGCTGGTGAGCACTTTCATAAACTGAAAAAAAAAAACAACCCAGGAACTCTGACAGGTAGAAAAATCAGCTTTCTAATAGGCTAATTTTTGTATAAATTAACTGAATATCTTTAGCTTGTATGCAAGGAACACTAAAACTTAAAAAAAAATACTCCAAAATATTTCTTCCTTTAACCTAAAGAACATAAAACCTTCCTAATTTTCCATTGTCACACCATGACAGACCACTGTCACCAATCTTAAAAAAAAGGCCATAGTCAGCAAATTAAAAAAAATGTACGTCAACATAAGCTGCCATCTAGAAAAAAAAATCATGAGCTGAACACACCTTTTTGCACCCTTTTGAAAATAAGACAGCCATAAAAATACTCAAGTTATATTAGAGTATCATCATTATTATTTATTTACTGATATTTAGCGGACTCAAAGAGAAACTCTATACAGTTCCATACAGCCTGTTGATGCCCCAAATAATTCGGAGCCAGAGCCAACACCTGGGAAGCCCCTCCAGGTGCCCTGCTTGGGCATGGAAATGTGCTGCCAGAGCTCAGCGTCCAAGTGAGCCTCAGTAAGTATCTGTGGAAATCAGAAACACATTTCTGAACACATGGCTGGTTTTCCAATTGTCGCATATTTGTAAAATGAGCAGTGAGGATGCCGCCTTTGTGCGTCCTCACTTCTGCAGCTATGGCTGATTTTCCAAGACCGTCAGCTGCCAATGAATTCACTGTCCTTGCAGTGCTTTTTCATCGAAACTGCACCAACGCCAGCTGAACCACCAGCTACGGCATCCCACACTTTATCCAGAGAAGTGCTGATGAAGTGGCACTACCGGCATAACTGGAGCAGAGTCAGCTCCACAGGAAGGGCTGAGCTTACTCTGATGGACAGCTATTTCCCTAAGGCTACAGATTTTCCTTGAAGCACAAGGAAGATTACCAGAATTACTGAAAATACATTTTGTTTTTTCTTTCCAGTAATACTTTGATCAGTGGCAATGAATGAAGCAAGAAAAACCAAATAAGCTGTCAGCAGCATCAGCATGCTTCACAATCTCCTGATCCCACTATTTAGGCTTCCTGATCCCAAAATAACAGCAGGAAAGCAGCAGGGCACTTCACTGTACATAGGTCACATTTATTCAAGGGTAACATATCAAAAAATGTCTATGTAAGCACAGCCTGATAATTCCTGCATTTCTGGCAAAGATAATGACTCAGAAATGTTTGTGTTCAAGTAGGTTTGATCCTGGAGAAGACATAGGAAATGTACAGAAAGAAATGGGCAGGAAATCACTAAATCCTGAGAGACTGCGATACCATACACGCTCCTGTCTACCAGGCTAACCAAATATCCTTACGGTCTCCTGTCTTGGAGCAGAAAGCTCCTGGTCAGTGCTGTGGAGAACCAGCTGGAAGAACTTGGTGGGGATCCATCAGGGCACCCAAGCTGCTGTGAAGTGGATCCAGCCACCACAGAGGTCTCACTCCCAGTCCCCAGCAGTCACACGCAGCCCTTTGCCCTTTCATGTCTCATAGACATCTTCCCACGGTGGCCTGCAGGTCCTACATTCTCACATCTGTCCAGCTTACCACTGACCCAACTGGTCACCCCAAAAGCACTCATAGGCCACAGCAGGATGCAGCCAGGAAGAGCAGTGGGACCTGAACTGAACCTCAACTGTGGCCCCCACCCAGCACCACCATCTCCAAATATCCCCGAAAACACCCTCGTGGGGATACCGCTCGCTCCCCTCCTCTCCCCAGAGAGCACCCCTCACATGAACCAAGCCCCGAGGGGGCTGCAGCCCGGGGGTGGGGGGGGCTGCAGGCCAAGCCCCGAGGTGGACACAAGGCAGACCTGGAGTCGAAGCGGGTGCCGTCGGGGAAGGCACCCAGGTAGTGGTAGCGCACGAAGTC